AAAAAAAAGCAGAAAAAATAGGATATATTTGTTTTCATTACTTTACCAACTCTATTCTGTGTCAGGCACAACTTTGGGCATTGACCAATTAGTTCTTATTTAATGCACTTATTCAATTTAGTATTAAAAGTTCATTAGTGGTCTTGTCAACACATCTGGGGAGCAGAAAGTAGAAGCATGCAATATACATAGATCAGAAAAGCTAGAGTTCACCATGAGATGGGATGTTGGGAGGTGGAAACACACTAAGTACACGGAGATAATGTAGGCGTCGTAATATTTAGTGTACAGAATCAAACTGCAACCATGCCCAGTCTGACTAGAGATTAGGTGGCAATAAAGGTAGATACTCAGGACTCTGACCTTGAATGTCCTTCTCACAGTGGCGAAAGGCTTCGAAATCAGCCCATAGATGAAAAGGGAATCATTGAGAATCATGAACATGGGCATCTTTTAAACAGATAGTTAACTGGAAGGTGGGCAAATGGATGCGAATATCTATCAATTGAAGCATGGCAGATTTTTTGGTGGCCACAAATCACAGTGAGCGACATTTCTTAAACTGGCAACTAGGTCATTTGGAATCTGTGTCCTCAAAGTTACTGCAGCAGAGGAAAAGAGAGCTGGGGGATATCGGAGAAGCATTTAGGATCAGAACTTTTAGGATCAAATCTTTCATTATCCCCTTGGCCATAATCTGGCCATATGGTCCATTGTAAATTCAACAGTCTTGTGTAGAGGGGGGTCATTTCTTCTATCCTTATTTAAAATTGGTCAAATGTACATTTGAATTTTTATTGCCTATGTAAGGAAAATAATACTGGATCCATTTACTCAATCTATTCAACAAACGTGGTTGTGTGTGTGTGTGTGTGTGTGTGTGTGTGTGTGCGCGCGCGCACGCGCCTTGGGGAACTGATGGGGGCAGCTCTACTGGGTTCTAGAGGGTTGCTATGAGTCAGAAGGGCAAAGGGGTTTTAATATGTTCCAGGTGCTGTTGTTAAGTGCTTGGGATATCGCATTATGTATTTTCTGTTCCTCTAAGTAATACTGTGCCCTCGGGGTGTAGGATGGCATATAGAAAGGGGATGAAATTTCACAAGCGTGTCTCTGCCCTGAAGAAAAAAAGAACCGGTTGTGATAAATCTGGGCAAACTGGCTGAATCCCACCCCTGCTCAGAGTCCCATGCAACTCCCTGTTGAGCCTAACGGGTGAACAGCATAGGCCCTGCAGAATGGCATCCGGATCTCCTGTACCTACTCACTTCTGATTCTCAGAACCCTCTGCACAGAAGCCTCTGTGGCCTCCCACGTGAGCCCTACCGCTCACACGTTACCCACTTCCCTCATTCTAACTCCCCATACTCTCCTGGGTAATTGAGGAAAAAAAGAAAGGAAAGAAAGAAAGAAAGAAAGAAAGAAAGAAAGAAAGAAAGGAAAGAAAGAAGGAAGGATGGAAGGAAGGAAGGAAGGAAGGAAAGAAAGAAAGAAGGAAAGAAGGAAAGAAAGAAGGAAAGAAAGAAGGAAAGAAAGAAGGAAAGAAGGAAAGAAAGAAAGAAAGAAAGAAAGAAAGAAAAAGAAAGAAAGAAAGGGGGTGTAAAGGAGAGCATGGGCCAGATGCTATGAGATCTTGAAGGGCATTGTAAAGACTTTCAATTTTTCTGACTAAAATTAAGATGCTCCAGAAATTATTCCATGCAAAGGAGTGGCTTGCAGGAACTTTTATACAAAAGGTCATCGGGCTGCTCAGTTGAGGACCGACAAAGTGGGGCGGGGGTGGGGGGTGGGAGCAGTGAACTCTAGTATAGGGTTGTAGAGTGATTCATGCTAAGGATAGTGGCCTGGACCAAGGTGAAAACATGACGATGATGAAAAGTAATGCTTCCGGACATATTCTGAAGAAAATATATTCCATTTTGAAGGTGAAATTATCAAGATTTGATGAAATGTCATCTGTGATCTGAGAAAAAAAAACCTTGATTGCCCAGCAGAATGGAGCTGAAGTAAACTGACACATGAACTGGAATCTATTACCAAATAGCTCCAGGAGAGATCTAGGGAGTATTGGAATTTCCTAAGTTACTCATGTCCAATGTCCTTTAGAACGTTGAATGATAACAATGCTCATGAACTTTTTTCTTAGATTTTATAGTCTAGCACCAAATTTCCCTCAGAGTGGCAGAATTTTTATATAGAATCCAGAGATAGCTACTTAAAAATAAAAATCAGTTAGCAATTTAGGTAAGTACCATTTTCTTTTGATCGTTGTTTCCCATTAGGGACACATGTGCTTCCTAGAAACATCCCATCACATCGATGGAAGTTATAGCAATATGGAGTTCATGAGAAGGGACCAGTTTAAGGTAGGGTCTATACGGAGCAGAAAATTGAGATGGGTAAGTTTGGGTTAGATGGTTTGTGTTATTTTATAAAAGGGTAATTTATAGAGTAAAATGAAGAGTTTGGATTTCATCTCCTAGATAAAGTAAATACTAAAATATTGAAAATATAGAAGAAAATTTAGGAGAGGAAAAGAGAAGGGAAGCTATTCAGAAGAGACACAAACAAGTAAATGGACTAATATCTATAGAAATGTCAGGTGACCACATTTCTAAATTGGAGCATATCTAACAGGGTTGATAATAAAAATATTTGATGATACATTGCTTTGTGTTTACAACGGAAAATTCCAGGATTGGTATTTTTCCTCCTATTAAAATTAATTGACTTGATAGGAAACCTTGTTTCAGAGTCAGACACCCTATGCTCTTTCTACCCAGGTCTGTCTTTTTCTTCTCTTTTTAAATTTTGTATTTTTTTTAATCATTTTACTGGAGGCTCATACAACTCTTATCAAAGGTTTGTCTTCTATAACATGCTCTGCCCATGTAATCAAGAAGTTCAATAGCTACTGGAGCAGCTGAATTCTTTAAGGAAGATTCTCTCAAATGTATACGTGTTAAAAACCTAGTGGAACACATTCCATTTTATAAAGCAAACCTAAATTTCATACCATTGAGTAGATTCTCATTAGTGGAGACCCTATATCGGCTTTCCGCTACGGTAAATCTTTATGGGAGCAAACAGTTGCTGGATGGCTGATGGGTGTGAACACCCAACCTTTTGTGAGGGACCCAAATCCTAATCCATAGCAATATGCAAATCACAGTGTAGTAGAAAATTTCAACCAAAAGACACATCACTAGAAATAGGGAAACTATAAATGAAATCCACATTACCATAAACGTATTATTGGCCATAGAATACATTTTAGGATTTTGTACAAGTTACAACGATAAGCAAGTCAACAGAAAATTTAGCAAAGACTTAAAGGTAGTTCATAGAAGACAAATCTGAAGTGTCAATGGAACAAGTAAGCCGATTTTCAAACTTTCCATATCAGAATATAGCTCATCTCAGCAGGATGGGAGGGGAATGGAGGCTGGGAGAAGTATAAGGGAAAATGCTAGTTCATGTGTAGCATTCAACATCTTACAAACAGTAAAGCATAGATGTAAACGTAGCTAACCGAGCATATGCTTATCTTGCAACTCTATGGGTGTTTTGCTAACTTTCTGTACTGATGTATTTCTGAACTATTTCATAGCAATAAAATGATATATTCCAATTTTCCCTGCTCTATAAAAATTTCCCTAACTACGACTTTTACAAAGTAGAGAAAGCAACGGAAGCAGCATGAATTAGGGAAGAACATATGCTCAGAAGTTGGAATTCCAAATTCTTTTCCCAATTGTAATGACTTCCCATTGGGTGATGTTGGGGAAACCTCTTAATTCTTCTAAAACAGATTTGAGAGACAACATCTGAAAAACTTGAACCATAATGTCTACCACTATTTTATACAGTTATTGCAAAGAATGCATTAATGTGTATGTAAGCAAGATGCAAATGCAAAAAAGAAGAGGGAAATTCAGAAGTCGGTGGTTAAGAGGACATTCATTAAACATGGCATCCCTTTCACTGTCATTCTGAGCTCATTGAAACAGGCATTAGAAATAGAAAAGTGTAGAGAAATGCATCTTTTCTTACCGGATCTATCAGCTGGGAGTAAAGTTCATGGCAACTGTCAAAAATGTACTTGTATGTAGAGTCCAGGCAAGCTCTGACACAGTCCTTCACCACCATGCTGGCCTTTGGGGGGCTTTGTAGCTCCAAAACCTAGTGAACAAATTATATTCTTAAACTCAAAATTAGAACATTTTCATCCAGTATAAATAAGTAAAATATTTTAAAATCCCTTCTAGTTAATTTATGTTTGTGTTCAGGAAGTGTTTTAAATGTAGAAGCATCCATTACAGCTTTCTTACTTGATAACTTTTAGAAAATAACCATAGTTGTAAGGATTCAAATTAGAACACTTACAGTGATCACTTACAGATTAATTAACTCATTGGTCCCATTCAATGGTTCACCAAATATTTATCCTCCATTCTGTGCCAGGCAATAGTGATACAGCAATAAGCAAAATAAACAAAAACACTTTCCCATGTAGAACTCAAGTTCTAGTGGATAGTATAAGAAATAGACAAAAAGAAGCGAAATGTTATGTGGAATATTTACTTAGAATTGTTAGAGAATAGGTGAAGTCAGAAGGCAGCAAAAGGGCCATAAAAGTGTAGATACAAGAGTAGACATTTGGATAAATGAGTCTGGGGTTCAGTAGACACGTCGTGACTTTAGGGAAAAATAGTTGGAAATGATCGGTATAAGAATGTAAAGAAAAAAGATGAGTGGGTATGGGCAGAGACCAGTTCAGGATTGCCCTGGGTATCTAACCCTAGGACGTCAGGCAGACAGGAAAGACCAAAGCGATGGAGACTGGCAGTGGGTAGGAGAGAAAGGCAGCAGGTGTCTCAGAAGCCTAGAGATAGTCCCTGGATGAAAGGAGTGGTTCCATTTGTAAAATACTGCTGAATGTTAAATGTGGAAGACCAGGACTGACAACCACTAGATTTAGCAAAAAAAAAGAGGCCATGAGTAATTTTGGCAAAGTGGTAGGGTAAATGTTTGAGTTGGGCTCAAGAAGATAAAATCAGATGATCTGTTATTGGTAAAATAGTGATTCTGCCCAGGTCAACCTATAGGTTTAAGCAAAATCCCAAGCAAAATATTATTTAAATTGCTTGAATCATTCTTCAAAAGAAGCAAATGGTGTATTAATAAAATCTGGTTTTATGAGTTATAATAGAGCTAAAGTAATCAAGACAGGGGGTTAAGGGTTAAAGTACAGAGCATTGTGGTGAGTTCAGAAGTTGATTCACACAAAGTCAAGAGAACTTCAAAAAATCATGGAAAAATTGGAATAGAAAGATAATGGAACGTTTCCAAGAAAATTTTGAAATCCCCTCATGATCCAGTCAATTGACTTTTATTTTAAAATGATGCTATGGCCATTGAAAAATAATGAATTTTCAATGAACAATGTTGAAACAATATTCATAAACTTATAAAATATTTAAAAATGTAATATAGATAAAAATATAAAGAGCAAAATGACACTTTCAGAAGAAACCCTAGGAAGTATCCTTCCTGATCTTGGTTTAGGTCAAGATTTCTTATGTACAACAACAAGAACACTCTCCATAAATAAATAAAATAAATTAGCCTTCATAAAAATTTTAAAAGGTACTGGTAGAGAATGAAAAGACAAATCACACACATAGATTAGCCAGCCAGGAAGAACTCTTCAAACTCAACAGAAAAGCAAAAACCCCAATAAAAGCCTTGTCAAATGAGTTTAAAATAATTTTCCACAAATGATATTATTCAGGTCACGAATCAGTACAAGAAAAGGAGTGGAGTGTCATTAGTTATTAGGAAAATAAAATTAACACCACAGTAAAATACAACTTTGCTCCTATTCTAAACATTCCTATTCAACTCTAATTGAGAACAATACTATAGGACAGAGGTCAACTGTTTTAGTTGACCTCTAAGGTTCTAATATTTAGAACCTCATCCATCTTTAGAACCTATCATATCTTTCTCTTGCAGAGTTGCTGGTGGGTCCAAACTGCCTTTTGGTTAGCAGCCAAATACTTTAATCCCTGCACACGACCAGGGTTCCGTTGTTCTCGATAGAAACAGATAAAAGTTAAGAAAATTATTAAAAACAAAAAACAAAATCATTGAAAATACTGAAGAACTGCAGAAGGATCAGGACAACTGGAACTTCCATACATTGCTGTGTGCAGTCACTTTGGAAACCAATCTGTCAGCTTCTCATGAACTTATCACATATTGTTTCTGGGGGGGACCATCGAGCAGATTCTGACTCACAGCATCCCCAGACCTACAACTGTTCTCCAGAGGGTTTCCTAGTTAGGAGAGCAGATTGTTAGGTTTTTTTCTCCTGGCGAGTGGTTGGTAGTTTAAACACTCCACTTTCATAGCCGTCCAACACTAACCATTTTGCCAGGAGGGTTCCCCTTAGCAATCGCATACCAAATATTTACCCAAAGAAGACAACGCCTGTCAACTAGTGCATGGATAAACGATGGTTGATGCATCTATAACACAGAAATACTACTCAGAAGTAAAATGGAGCATTGGTACACACACCCAGCAAGATGATTGTATCTCCGACACACGATGCTTCATGTAGAATGCTGAGACAAGCACAACCACGTGTGGCGGCAGTCATTGACCCTAAATAGGCAGTACAAGCTCATCGCCTGCTCGGCATCTGCGTTGTGGTGCAGCTGACATGAGCATGTACTTATTAAAACTAATCATGAATTACGCAACTGTACAACCAAGTGTGTTTTACTATTTGTCATCATTTTTAAAAAAGACAACAAAGCAGGAACGGACTCAAAAGATCACGGTAGTAAAGAGGTCAGAAAACAACAAACGTTTAGGCAACTAGTTAGAGGAGCTTTGCTGCGAGAGGAAACAGGCTCTTGGTTACGACCTGCAGGGGAAAGTGGAGCCAGGAAGGGTTTGGTGAAAGTGGAAACATAATAGTTTGGAGGTGGAGAGATGGGAAAACTGGTGGCTCGGTGAAGAGGGAGGTTTTCTGGGCTGATGGATTGGAAGGCAAGCGGAGATGACGTCAATGACAAAGGTACAAGAGATGGCCCTTTTGAAGAAAATAGTCCGTTGATAGAAACACAAAAGAAGCAGGCGTAGAGGGACACAGATGCGGCCAAGTAGCTCGAAGAGGCCGGAGCCCATTGTGCAAATTTGAGGACACTCTTTGTTTTTCAAGGAAACAGGTTTTAGCTCAGAATGAGGATGGGGAAGAATGGAATGGAAAGTTTTAGGAAAGGGGTTTTGAAACACTGCCAACCTTGCTATTGGAGAATGGCAAATGTTTAGCATATTTGTTGGCATTCCCAGACTTCACTCTGGATTCCCCAGACTCCCACAAAGCTGCTGGTGGTTCCGAACTGCTGACTTTGCAGTTAGCAGGCCAACGCTTAACCATGATACTACTGCGAATCCCTATGATATTAAAGCAGAGGAGATATATAAATATATATATTCTCTCTCTCTCTGTAACATATATTTCCAGGTAGACATTACCAGGCTGGCATTACCAGGCCAATGCTTAACCATGATACTACTGCGAATCCCTATGATATTAAAGCAGAGGAGATATATACATATATATATTCTCTCTCCAACATATATTTCCAGGTACACATTACCAGGCTGGCATGAAAGCAGCTGTAAGCAGAAAGGTTACACCTCAGGAAGAATACCATAGTTAGAATTATTTAGTAAAATTAAATAACTTTTAAAAGGCCAGATACTCTCAGGAGAGTCAGCAATTTCACCTTTCAATTAAGTTAAAATAGGTAGACGTGAACTCCATTTCCGTTTATCCTTTTGAAAAGACCATGCCCACTTAGATTAACTGGGGAGATTTGATGCATAATTAAACGTGAGTTAAATGTATCAGCAGACCCTAGGTGGTTAGGACAGACAATTTCTTCAAGCCGCTCTGTATTGGAAGATGCACTCAGCTCAGGCAGGCAAAGGCTGCACAACTTAAATGCAGGAGGCAGCGTAGGCCGCGATCAGGGAAGCATAAGACTGGGATTGACCAGGGCAGAGCTCATCAAAACAGTAACCGAAATCAAAGGAGATTACCTTCATCCGAAAAAAGGTGATGCTTGTTAACAGGTCAACAGTTGATTTCAGGTCTTGCAGTCTTTCAACATTACTGGCAGGAAAATTCTCCTGGAGAAACAGAAACCGCACAGGTAAATTACCATCAAACACCTACCGACAAGGTGGCCTCACATCTCTGCTTGCCCCCAAACACCGCTTTCAATGGTTATTCTCATCTCGCAATGTTAACCCCCGTTCCAACATTGAGCTTTTATTTGACAGAATTTGCTGAGTTCAGAAGGCCTCTAAATCTGAAATGAAAGGTACCTGCTTCTTTTTTTTTCTTTTCATAAGTTGCTTTCAAAGTCAATTCCAACTCATGGCAACTCTCTATATATTAGAGCGGCATTAACTCCATAGGTTTTTCAATAGCTGATTTTTCAGAAGTAGATCGCCAGGTCTTTCTACCTAGGCACCCTGGGGTGAATTTCTAATCTCCAAACTTTTAGCTGGCAGCTGAGTGTGTAACATATTTGGAAAGCCTAGTAGCTCCCAATCAGGACATTCAATAAGCTCTTCACTAAAATACATGTAGATAAGTAAAGATGTTTTGGAGACACTGCTGAAAACGGAAAGATGTAGAAGAGACTAGGATTTTTGGATAAGTAAACTTTTTGGTGTATAAGCTATTTGGTAACTAAATGATGACATGCATGCATTCACGTGTGTGTGTGTGTGTGTGTGTGTGTGTGTGTGTGTAACAAGCAGGAACACTGGTGGTATAGCGGTTAAATGCTCAGTTGCTACCTACAGGTTGGTGGTTCAAACCCACCATAGCCCCTCTGTGGGAGGAAAGACACAGCAGACTGCTTCCACGGGCATGATGACCTCGGCGTCCTTATGGGCAATTGTACCTTTCCTTCTAGCATTCACTACGAAAAGTCAGGTTCTACTTCACAGCAGTGGATTTTACATACCGAGAAAATGCTAAAAGGACACCCAAGACTGGTTATATAGGGTGGAAAAAATAGAGGAATTTAATATGTCTAACCTTCCATATTGCTTATTTTTGTCAAGCAATGCTTTCATTACTTGTAATGCAGTTAACGGTATTGGATAGGGAGATGCTGAGACTCAATATTCTCCAGCAGTTCAAGGTAGTTGGAAAAGCAGTCCTAGTCTTAGAAGATGAATTACACTTAAATCTTGGCTTGATCACTTTCTTGTTTCAGAAGGACACCTCCTTAAAATTCACTAATTATCTAAAAAGTGAGCCGAATTTAGTAGTGTGCAAGAGAACATTTAAAACCAGCGCTCCAACACAAAAGATGCTCCTATAGTTCACTATATAGCCCAGTGATATAAGCTGGTCAAACCTTACAAATTCTAATATTGTATTTAATTAGAATGCAGAAAATGTCCTATACCAGTCTGATTCTCAGAATGCTATTGTTTAATTGTTTTACAAATTCTCTTCAGCCATAATTTAATAAATGGAATTGTCAACTCTTCAACTCTTCTCCCAATATGTTTACTGTCCTTAAAATTTCAAGTGGTCTCCTGTTGAACTATTTACCATCACACAGCTTGGAGTCACTAAACTAAGACTTCTGGCATCAGCACTAAACCAAGCCCCTTTGATTGCATTTGCTCATGTTTGACTGTGAATAACTTGAAGCTAATCTAACATCACCACATATGCAGCAGGAAAGATGCCAGCGGCTCTCTATTAAGCATCATTTCCAAAGGGCAGAAAGGTAGCCTCCAGAATAAAAAGAATGCTAAGATGAAATAAAATAATTAGGAAGTGATGCATTTTAAATGTGTATTAATTTTCTTATCATGTTAAGTTTAAATGTATGTAATTTAAATTTTAGTTATCATTGTGTTTTCCAAGTAGATTGCAAAATTCCTGAAAATTTAACTACTAGCTTTTGAGATTGTCTCCAGCACACTACTAGTTATTATCTTTTTCTCCATCCTAAAGATGTTACAAGGCTAGAAGAACAATGAGAACATAGTTTTTAAATTGCAAAATTCTACCCTACAATATTTCTTCAGTGTTTAATCAGATTAGGTGGACCACTTCAAAACACATACTGTACCCAGATACACATGAGGAATGAATTAAGTATTAACCCCCACTAAGAATCTAACACACTGGGGAAAGAGCTGACTTCACTAAGAGAGGCGGCTTTTCAATATGAGAACTGGGATTAAGTCTAGATCACATGTCTACATCATGAATTGGCTGACACCAATACTGATGGCTCGTGTTAAAACACTTTACAGTTACAGCAACACACACACACACACACAATGTTGCTGCAGGGTTATGTGGGCAATGTGTTTGACAACAGTGGAAATTGGGTGGTTAGTTTACTTAGGATACGTTTCTTCTATGACAGGAGCTTAAGTCAGCATTGTACTTTTCTGTTGTTATTGTCTGCCATGGACCCAGTGCAGACTCATAACATCCCTGTGGTTCAGTAGAATGAAACATCATCTAATCCTATGCCATCCCCCCAGTCATCCTTATTTCAGTCCATTGTTGTCACTGTGTCGATCCACCTGGTTGTAGGCCTTTCTCCTCTTTACTAAGCAGGAGATGCCCTTCTCCAGGGACAGGTGTCTCCTGATGACATGTCCAAATAAGTGAGAAGTCGTCTCACCCTCCTTTCCTCTAAGGAACACTCGGGCTCTACTTCTTCCAGCATTGTACTTTTCTGTTGTTTGTTATTGTCTGCCACGGACTCAGTGCAGACTCATAACATCCCTGTGGTTCAGTAGAATGAAACATCATGTAATCCTATGCCATCCCCCCAGTTTGGCAGTGCATGCTACTTTCAATTATTCTCTGGACATCATCGTTCAAATGCATTGATTTTTCCTCAGTCTTATTTATTCAATGTCCAACGTTCACATACAGAGGAGACAACGGAAAACACTGCGGGCCTGGTCCAGCCATACCTTAGTCCTCAAAGTATCCTCCTTGCTTCTGAAAACTTTGAAGAGTTCTAGAGCGGATTTATTCAATGCAACACGTCTTTTGATAACATGACTGTTGCTTCTCTGATCATTGATTTTGGAGCCAAGCAAGAAAAAACTCTGGAAAATGTCCATCTTTTTTACATTTAACATATTATTTTAACGATTGGTTCAGTTTTAAGGATTTTGATCTTGACCTTGAATCATAAATCCATACTGAAGGCTCTAATCTTGATGGGTCATCAGCAAGTGCTTCAAGTCATCTTCTCTTTCAGCAAGCAAGTTGTGTAATCTGCATAGTGCAGCCATTCTGCAAACCTGATCCTGAGTTCTTCACATAATCCAACTTGTTTGATTATTTGCTCAGCAAATATAATCCTGATATTAAACTTTGCATTATGCCCTAGTTCTGTTTGCACACCTGCCTCTTGATCCATGTACAGGTTCCCCATGAGCACAACAAAGTGTTCTGGAATTCCCATTCTGATCAAGGCTCGCGATAGTTTGTTACAGTGCACAGAGTTGAATGTTCTTGCATACTCAATGGAACACAAGTAAACATCGTTCTGCTATTCTCTGCTTTCAGCCAAGATCCATCTGACATCAGCAAAGATATCCCTTCTTCCACATCCTCTTCTGAAACTGGCCTGGACCACTGGCAGCTCCCTGTCAATGTTCTTCTGTAACCTTTGCTGGACGATCTTCAGCAAACTTTTCGTTGCATGTGATATCAAGGATATACTGATTTGCAATTTGCTCATTCTGAAGGGCCCCTTTCTTTGGAATGGATACAAATGCAGATCTCCTCCTGTCGAACGCCTATGGGCTCTCTCTCTAACTTTTTGGCATGGACCAGTGAGTGCTTCCAGGGCTTCATCAGCTGGTGAAAACATTTCTTTTTTTTTTTTTAATCATTTTATTAGGGGCTCATACAACTCTTATCACAATCCATATATACATCAATTGTGTAAAGCGCATTTGTACATTCATTGCGGTGAAAGCATTTCAATGGGTATCCCACCCATTCCTGGAGCCTAGTTTTTGGCTAATGCTTTCTGTACCACTTGGGCTCCCTTCCTTCAGTACCATTGGTTCTTGCTCATATGCTATCTGTTGAAGTGTTTGAAGGTTGACTTGTATCTTTTTTGCACCATGACTCTGAATTTTTTCCATGTTCTTTTGATACTTCTTTCCTGTCTCCTTAATGACCTTTTGCTTTTTTCATGTATGACATGGTACTGATATCATCCCATAGGTCACCAGGTGTGTTAGTCTGGGTACATTAGAGAAACAAATCTATAGAAACTCATATGTGTAAGAGAGTTTTATATAAAGGTTAAGTGCATATCATGAAAACATCCCAACCCAGTGCTGCCCAAGCCCCCAAGTCCAACATTAACCCATATGTCTGACACCAATCTACAAAGTCCTCCTCCATCTCACAAAACAGATGCAATGATGCCGACTGCAGGAGGAAAGCCTAGTGAATATGTAAGCATCTCAGTGCTGGCAGGGGTCTCCACACAGCTGCTCCAGCACCCAGGGCTGCATCGGGTAAGTCCATGTGGCTTCTCCTTAGGGATGTCTTGCAGGAAGTGAGCCTTGCCAGCTGAAGCAGGAACTGGCTAAGGCAGCTGCACTCTGGTCCAACCATCACAAAGCAAGAGACCTGAGAACTAGAAAGGCGAGGTTCACCGAGCCATTTATCTCTCTGCCCTTCAATTAACCCCACATGTGTTTATCAGCCAGGTTGGCACAATAAACTAACTACCTCACCAAGTCTTCTGTCATCAGTGTTTAATGCATCAAATCTGTTCTTGAGGACATTGGTTAGAATTCAGTTTATGCATCACTAGCTTTAATGTTTGGTGCATAAATTTGAGTAATAGTTGTGCTCACTGGATTTCCTTGTATGGGGATAGATATTATTCCATCACATACAGTACAGTACTTCAAAACAGATCTTAAAACATCCTTTTTGAGGCTGAATGTGATTCTATTCCTCTTGATCATGTAATTCCCAGCATAGTAATCCATATGATTTCCTGATTCAAAATGGCAATACCACTGCAGTTCACGTCATTAACACCTATAATATTGATTGTACGCATTCCTTCTCATTTTCATGGCTTCCAATTTTCCTCAATCCATACTTCATACAGTTCAAGTTCCAATGATTAAAGATGATTAAGTTATTATTAAAGAGCTGATGTGTACTGCTCTCTCTTATCATTTTGAGTCAGACCCCATCAGTCAAGGAAGACTTCCTGAAGCTTTACTCACACAACAGGCTTTGGTTCGTCTGTGTCATCGTGGTTGACTCTGCTTTGAGAAGGCAGTGCTTTCTCGGCCCTATTTTGAGGGCTTTCTGATCTGAAGGGCTTACCTTCTGGCACGATCTCTAACCATGTTCTGTTTCTATTCTTGGGTTTTCATTTCCATTACATAGGGCATGCCTTGTGCAATGTCAAAGAAACCATCTGGACCAAACACCACACAAGATAAAAAGCATTGCGACACAAAAATATCACAGCATGAAGCTACTGTTTCTCAAGATATCCTCCATCTAGGTCTATACGCTTCTGAAGGTGGTGTTTCACCCTGGTGTGAAGAAATCTATACTCTTCAACTTACACCACATCAAAATAGCAGGTTTAGCAACCCCCAGAAATTCAAATTGTGTTCTTTTTAAATGTTCATTGAGTTGGGACAGGAGTGGGGAGGAGTTTCCAGGAGGTCAGATAAAGGTATAGGATGAACAGGATTTCCCAAGGTAATTGTTCTATGACAGCCCATTTTGTTCCCCTCAAAAAATGAGGGGGGTGCATCGCCGTGATGGAAAAAAAACCCTTGGCACAATTTCTTTGGCCTCCTCCTCACCAGTTCACTTTGAAGAGGTCTTAAAAATTTCTATAACTAAGTCCCGGTGACATCTATAAAGATGACCCCATTGACAGTCTCCTTCCTGCTAAAAAAGAGTTGCCACAGCCACACAAGCCAGCTTCTCTGACTTGAATTTCACGGGCCCGGCAGCTGCTCCCTTCCGAAGCCACTGCTTTAATAGGACCATGTACTTGTAGCCACCTGATGAGACGGAGGACATGGCCATTACGGAGAGAGCTTGTCTGCCACCATATGCTGATCAGAGACGGGTCTAATCCAATCTTTTTGAAAGCAACCCATGAATGTATGGACCAGAACTCGAGTAGCAGTGCTTTTGTTGATCCAGCCACCAGCTTTACCATTAGGGAAGTAATTTTATACATACCCTATACTTTGACAGGTCAATCCGTAAAGAGTTGTGTAGCTGGTCCAGGAGCTTGATAAATTTCTCCCTCTGTGAAAGCAAACACAAAATAAGATGGTAGTGATAAATCATCATTTCAAATGTACGTCATCCTCACAATGTTAACAGTCACCATTTTAAACGTAGGCGTCATGGTTTTAGAAGCTATGGCCCCCATTTTACAGAAAGCACCTGAATTTTCAAGGTATCAACTGATTTATCCAAGAGATGGCAGTAGGATGTGATGATGCAGTGATTCAAACTCAGGACTGTACCAAACTTGTTATTCTCAATAAATCACAGCACTTCTCCGTGATGAGTGTGAAACCTGCACCTTTTCCTATCGTTCCCAGAGAGCTGTTTTCTGCATGAAGAAGGCATGGTGAATGAATCACTGCTGTGCTTTTCCAGGTAGCGATTCACAGGCAATCGAATGTGTCAGCAAGAGCAAATGTGCCCCCCGCCCCCCAGGCCACACCACCCTTCCCAAAATAAATGACGACTCTGTTCCCTTTTCCCCCCAAGGGAAGTGGGAAACAGTTGTGGCTGAGTCAAAAACAATTTCAAAAAGTATGTTTTTTGGAAACAAATAAAAGCTTCCGAATCCAAAAAAATGCATTGCTTTAAAAGGATGATTTGAATTTATGCTAAAATCATGTAAATACCAGGGCAAAAGATGACTGCTGCTTCCCTCTGATGCTGTCCTAGCGTTAGACTGACCTCCTCCCTGACGAATTGGAGAGGTGTTATTTTGATAACATTCAGGTGAGCTTGTGTTGATTAACTACATATAAGCTAAAGCATTAATGTCACACACAGAATTGATTGATACTTCCACCATTCAAGATAAAGTATATAGGAGGCATATAAATGACAGCAAAGCTTGCGTCTTTCATTGATAGTCTTGAAACACCAAACTGTACCGGGGAAGATACTGATTAATGAAAAAGCAACATTTCCCTCGTAGCTTGACTGAGGAGGTGAAAATGGGGTTTCCAATTCTTATCCCTTAGAGCAGCGGTGGGTCACAGCCCCTTTTGGTGTTGAATGACCCTATCACAGGAGTCACCTGATTCATAACAGTAGCAAAATTACAGGTATGAAGTAGCAATGAAAATAATGTTATGGTTGGGGGGCCCCACAACACGAGGAACTGTATTAAAGGGTTGTGGCATTAGGACAGTTGAGAACCACTGACTTAGAGTCACTGATCTTGATGGCATTAGTAGACTATTAATAGGTAAATTGTTCATACATTGAAAGTCTAATTTTGAGTAAACTATTTTCATTAGGTTCATATGTTGGCAAAAAATTTGCGTATCTCCTCTGCTAATCCCTATGGAGGCAATAAAGCACATAAGAAATGAGCCTTATCCTCCAGACGTTTCTAATCATGTTAGACAGGCATAGCTATCCAGTCCCCATAACCAAAACCTAAACCCACTAGCTCCAATTAGATTCAGAATACAAGCTACAGGAGAGGATACAGATGCAGCAGTCAAAAGGGTGCATGGCATTGGGTGAATCTGCTGCCCGTGCATAAGGCCTCTGTAAAGTGTTGTAAAGCAAAGATGTTACTCTGAGGACTAAAGTGTTCCTGACCCAAGCAGTTGTGTTTTCAACCATATACAAGTGAAAGTTGGACACGGAATAAGGAAAACTGAAGAACAGATGCATTTCATGACGGTGCAGGTGAAGTATATTGGAAATACCAGGGACTGCCAAAAGGACCAAGCAATTGTTTCAGAAGAAGTACAGCTAGGAGGATCCTTAAAAGCAAGAACAGCAAGACTGCCTCACGCAATCAGGAGAGACCAGTCCTTGGAAAAGGTTATCATGCTTGGCAAAGCAGTGGGGCAGCGAAAAAGAGGAAGACTCAGGACCCAACGGGTCAACAGTGTTTGTAACAATGGCCTCAAACAGAAGAACAATTGTAAGGATGGTGGAGGATCAGGCAGGACTTCCCTCTTGTGTATGAATCAGAACCAACTTGCCAACAATCAACAACAAAACCAACGGCCTTGTTTTGTCCTCGCCAGAGCCATAAGACCTTTCCAGGTTAGGGGGATACCAATGCACTTCTTTCTGAATCCCCAAGCTCTATCCTTGTGGATCATTTGCTTTCAATAAAACAGGAAAAAATTAAAAAGCCACTATAATCATCTATTTAGGCCACAGTAGAGTGTGTCATTCAGAAAATCAAGAAAGACAGCGTGATTCACTTCATGTCTCTGGAGGCCTCATCTGACCCTCAGTGGTTGGTACGAAGCATCCAGATAGCTGAGCTGAAGTAACTCTGGCCAACCATACAGGATCCAAATCTATGGCCCCTTATTTAAATTTGGCAGACCCCAAGGATCCCATGGCCCATGCATTCTTCTATTCTCTCAGAGCATCTTCATTTTGTTTAGGTGATAAATGCACCCCATATGGTATGCTTATTTTCCCAGCTCTTATTTTAGAAAAGATTGGTCACGTGGCAGTTTTTGCCAATTAGATAAATGTACAATTCACTGGGAAAGCTGACTACAGAGAAGAGCTTCAGCGTGCACCCTGTCAATGAAGTCTTCCTTGGGAAGATTGGAAAGCATTGCTTGTGAGTGTTTGCTATACAATTCTTTTATATGCGTTCATGCTTTGTGCCCTTTGCATTTCTCCTTTTCTTCAATTTACACCTAGACACTCTAAGGGAAAGCAGTCATCCGGTGACCATAAGGTGAGGAACTAAATACAGCAAGAAAGGACATTCCGTATCACCCCCAATGCACCCCTTTTAAAAAATCACAATTCTGAGACATGACACCAACCCTGATTTCCTTACCTCTGTCCTTAGGTTCCACACCCAAACCCAAAACCAAGCCCACTGCTAGCTAGCCAATGCTGACTTGTAGCCATACATAAGGTTTAGAGGCTGTAAGTCATTACTCCCATAGATAGCCTCATCTTTCTCCCACAGAGCAGCTGGTGGGTTTGAACTGTGAACCTTGCAGTTTCCAGTCTAACTCATATGTCTCTCTCTTTCACACACACACACACACACACACGCATGTACACACACGTTAGGTTCCTATTTTATGCAGCTGAAAGGAATTTGACTCAGATCAAACATTTGGTCTCTCTATCTAGGTCAGGGGTCCTCACACTTTAAACAGGGGGCCAGTGCACTGCCCTTCAGACCCGTTGGAGGGCCGGACTATAGTTTAAAAAAAAACTATAAACAAATTCCTATGCACACTGTACATATCTTATTTTGAAGTAAAAAAACAAATGGGGCAAAAACACCCGGTGGGCACAAATGTCCTTGGCGGGCCACATGTGGCCCGCAGGCCGTAGGTTGAGGATGCCTGATCTAGGTCTTCATTGCCCACGGGGAAAATTTCCATTGCAAGAAAATAGAAAAAGCAGCGATGCTTGTTGTCACTAAATCGCAAACAACATCAGGTGATATGAAATTAAAAGTGTGATTCTGATAGAATCTTCATAGAGATTCTTTTTAACAGCAGGACAGCTTGAAATTTAATTGTATTTGCTCTATTTCTATGTAACTAGAGTGAGATTGCCTTTGCAAGAGCAAAGGAGGCCTGCCGCCTGCCTGATGTGATTTGAGGAATAACAAATGTCTGGGTGATTAGAAAAATGTTTTCCCCAGGGCCGTGGCACAATGCCTGAAATTCCACATTATCCACTTTGTTGCCTTAAATAAGGATCTGTCTGATATGAGGCAAACCAGTAAACATTGTAGGTTTGCAAACATTCAGATCTAATTAGCTGAGGAATAACTCTAGATTAGAGATCAGAAAACTTTGGCTCTAAAAGGCAGAGGGTACATCTCTTTGTCTTTCATTCTGTCTTAACTTCTCAGCTCTGCCACAAGTAAACAACAGCGTTCACAGGTAACTCACTATCGAATGAGTGTGGCGGTTCCAAAATGACTTTATTTATGGTCATGGAAATTTGGACTCCATAATTCTCATCTTTGGATTTTTTTCCCCATTTAGAAATGGCATTCTTAGCTCACAAACCAAACAACAATTGTTGGGCTGCCCTTTAACGAGGGGGATGCAGTTATTTCCCCATAAAAGCACGCTGGTAAATGTCCCGCAACAGCCTGTAAAATGTGGGAAGCGTGTCTCGTGTGGATGGATGAAAGAACATTTACACCACCCAGGCTTCTGAAGAAATGGTGCCGGGCCAGGTCTGACCTCCTATTTCACAGGTTTCAAAAAATTCGACTCCACCAGCTCAATATGGATGTCTTCAAGGTAGAAGAGGTAGACCTCTAACCCCCATGTTCCTTTACCAGTAGCCTGACACCAAGAGTCAGGGTACTACTGGACTTTTCTGCTGGGTCTGGTAATCCATTACAACAGCCACCAACAAAACAAAAACTCTTCTCAGGAACAGGCGGATGCATCTTTCTACTGTGGAATGGCAAGTGGATTCAAACTGCTGACCTTGTGGGTAGCAGTCTGATGCCTCCCTTTATTCTTTCGATAGAAACCATGATTTCAGAGTTTTTGTTATATGAACAGTGGTCAGTGAAGCTACAAAAGCCTTTGAAGAACACACGTGAGCCAACGGTCACGAAGGATTCCATGGTGTGCACAGGGTCTGGGGGCAATCCGTTAAGGCAGGGCATCCAACCCTTTCAAATGGGTTTAATCCTGGCTGCTTCATTCAAGGCAGCACAACTGGATCAGACAGACATCTGTAACATGTGGCTGTACTGGAACAAGAAGCAGAAGAAAACGACCTGGGAATGGGAGACTGCAAAGAGTCTGTGGCAAGATGCTGGATTGTTGTCATCTTGGATCTAAGCCCCACTGCATCCAACTTTGATAACCAAGTGATCAATTTCGTTCTGCAATACATACAGTATACATATTGAAACCTTATGTAGAGTTTACTAGGCTATAGACTTTTACAGAAATAGCCTCCTCTTACTCCCAAAGCTGCAGCAGGTGGGTTTGAACCATTGATCGTGCGGTTGGCCATGAGACGCTGCTTACCCAACATCCCTGCCAGGGCTTCTAGGATGGAGATGACGTATTTAGCAGGGAGTCAGTCAATAGTATTTTTGGTTCTGCTTATGGGGCTAGTCAATCCACATTTTAGACATCCCCATCCATTCTAGGTTTTGCTCTGTGATGGATTAGACTGGAAAGAACCAGTTTAAAGTCCTACCTCTAAGCCAACTTGGAATCTCTCAGGGTCTTGCATCTCCCTTCCTACATCCACAGCCTCCAGCCATTTCCACTGTTGGCCGTGTTACCTTATTAGTAATAAACTCCTTTCCTGTAGTTCTTGTATCCAGACATAAATTAATACTTTCATTTACGTTATAAAAAGATCTGCAGTGAAAAAATTGTAGGAAGAAGTACTATTGAGGTACGTCAGGAAGTTTAATTAAAAATATGATTTTCTTGGTTAGGTAACACATTTGTCAGGTTATAACATTTATGTTATTTATAAATATGAATTGCATACCATATTTTATATTGGCATTCTTCTTCTGAAGGAGCACCTCCCACCCTCAGATATTTAAGATATAGGTAGCACAAAACATGGATTTTCCCCTGCCAGCAAATCATAAAGGCAACGACCCACTCCCCAAATATTCCCTACATTCTCTTGCATTTTCCTCATCATTTTTAATCCACTATCTAGATTCAGCATGACTTGCTTTGCCAGGACTAAAACCCTCAGTCTCTTTCGCTAACTAGAATGCCTATGGTCAACATTCAGAATTGGTTTACTCATTTTCCCTTTAGTGTGTCTTATGTTTCAGAGCCTGGAAAACTTAAAGCAATTATTTACCAAATTATTTTGAGGCAAGGTTTCTGTGGATCTGCATTTCTGCCTATTAAATATACTTGCTCTCATATTTGGAAAGTAACATGAAGTAAGTAGAAGTCAACTGCCTTCTTGGCCTCTGCTTCCAAGTCAGCCACAGAGTGAAGTTTCTGGTTTTGAAAAGATAACTTGTACACTCAGTGTAGGAAGTCTCCCAATTTCCCACCTTCCTGATTTTATATACATAAGTATATATAAAGGTTGCAGCTTCCCTGCTAAGTAGACACCACTTGCTATTGAGACACTTATAATGGCTTCTCCTACAGTTCTTCAAGTGACATTGTAAGATCCAATTCTCTGTTATGGCAACTCATATTTAAGGTAGGAAGAATGGTTTCTATCATGACAAATTGAACCCCATTTAACCCACTTTCTCGCTCTCCTTAACATTGACTTTCTAGAATATTTCTGAATCAGAAATTCAAATTATACCCTATCCAAAACATGTTTTATTACCTTAAGAATAAATTCCACATATCTAAGATTAAAGGCTCTTATCTAAAGCCAACCTAGTAAGACACACGCCTATTATTTCTCTCCGCATACATACTCCATTAAACCTATTGTTTTCATTACTTCCCTTTGCCTCTAACTCACCAAATTTCCAAGCCTAAGGAAGTTTTCCTACTACCCTTTGGACGTTGATATACTGCTTGTCGACAACATTCCTCTTTGTTTGTCAAGCTTCCATTAGCCCCTAAGAAAATTAATCACATGTTCCTCTACAAGTTCAACATAGATCTGTACATACAAGCTCTTTGTCATTTACTATATATTTTTGGATTGATTTCTAATGACATTTGTACACAGAAAGTCTGTATTACAGCAAGAATAACAGTTTCCTTAAAGATTTTTTTTTAATAATATTCATAGGTAAGAAAGCATTTTCCATTTTGGAGACTCAATGTCTGGGTCCCAGCTTTGAGAAGGATAAAGATGATTCAAATTAATTAAATCTCCACCAATAGTATCAGGTCTAGTAACTGTGTGAATCAGAGTTTGGGACACCACAGTGGAGGCAGGGGACATGATACATTAAAATAGTTTACTTGACAAACAGTATTTTCAGTCGGTATAGGACACCAAACCAAACTCCCTGCCATCGAGTCAATTAAGATTGACAGTGACCTTGCATGACAGAGGAACTGCCCCTGTGCCTTTCCAAGACTGCCTTTACCAGAGAAGAGGGTCTCGCTCATCTCCCACCCAGTGGCAGAAGGTTGGGGGTGTCAAGCTGCTGACATGGTGGTATCAGCCAACAAGTACCCCTCTATGCCACCAGAGCTCAGTACCATACAATTCACATACCAAGTCAGTAAGTTATCAAGCAGCAGGCTTCCAGAAATATTTCTTTTAACAGACTCGACAGTAATTTGTGTTTTACATATGTATGAAAATTTCTTTAACTAGGTTGCCAGGGAAACACTGAATTATACTCAAATCTGTGTGGGTTGTCTTCTTTGGGTCAGCATGAAGTAAAGGAGCATGTTACTAATTTTCCTCTAGGTACCTCTTATGGTGGGTATGAATCATATAAACACATCTAATTTCTCAGAAGTAGAAATACTCAATGTTCCACAAGGTTGGACTTATTCTTTACAATGTGCCCAGATAGAATATTATAAGCAAAATACTATCATAACACAGAATTCTTTATTACAGTTAAAATCCCAAGACAATACCTATTATTATCGATATGAGATTATTTTTATAATAAAACTTTTCTATGACCTGCTGTTTGGTCATAATAGTATTTTGTTCATCTGACTGAGGAGAATTTTTTGGCCCCAGATCTTTTAACCGTCAGTCTAACAGAAGTAAGTGATAGTGGGGAGGGCAGGAGAGGTGAAATCCTCATACTGTATAGACTCACTCTTTGCTTCTCAAAGTGGTTAGGTAAAAAGATCAGACCATGATGCAAAAAATGTAGGGTCACACTTCAGCAGATCACACAATGGAAGGTGACTATCAAGACATAACTGCCAAACCACAGAGCATCATGGCCCAGAGCCACATTGACACATAACCTTCAACAGCAGAATCAGGGATGCTCTTACCCCACACCTTTTAATTTGTGACAGCCGGACTTTCGTTACTCAAAGAACAAAATGGTTGTATAAACAGTTGGATAATGGATTTTCAAACTATTGTAATAAAGGCAAAACATCGAATGAGCTAGTTAATACATAAGGCATAGGTATATCTATTACTGTTTTTAAAATCTTTGATCCTATTTGATTTTCATTTTACATATGAGAGATGTGTTAGAGTAAGAATTACTTTCCTCATTTAGCATTCTGGAAAACTGAGTTTGAATGATCTAGGAGATTGGCCTCTTCCCAGGTGATTTACATATGAACTCAAACACCAGGCTCTCCCAACCCTAAGAATGTTATTTTCTACTGGTTGTTACCTCTACCTTAAATTCCAACTCAGCTCATGCGATGTCTTCTCTCTCCTCAGAAGAGAGTGGGAGAAGAGTAGACAGCGGGACTTCCTTATTATTATTGGGTTTATTTGCTAATCATTTGTCCTGTCTTACTTTAAACTCCTCACTACTTTGAAGGAAGCATTCTCAATGTAGATCCTTCTTTCCCGTTTTGGCCAATTTGAATTTGATTACAATTGTAAAGAAGGAGTTCCAGTGACGAATGAATATACAAGGGAGTCATTCTTGAATCTCTTTAGGATTCCTATCTTCCGGAAAGTTCTATGTTTCAATGGGTTCTTGAGCCATTTGATACCTTGGGGCGGACAGCTGAATGCACAGCAGACAGTTCTCTTCGGCATGTGCTCTTACCCCCCAGCACAGAAGGAGTCAGTGGACAGGCAACTGGAAGACTCCAGGCTTCCGAGAGGCGAATCAGCTCACACTCACCAGGAAACAGCCCCTGACGTGGTCAAGCAAACTCTACATATAGAAGTAGTGCTTACAATTCTAGTATGTTCTCATAAAACCTATTCCCTTCTCCCACCTCACCCCTCCTACCCCTTGGGGCTCACTGGAAAAAGCAATTCCAGATAGAAGTTCTTTTTTATTATTATTCATTTTATTGGGGGCTCGTACAACTCTCATCACAATCCATCCATCCATCCATTGTGTCAAGCACATTTGTACATTTGTTGCCATCATCATTCTCAAAACATTTGCTTTCTACTTGAGCCCTTGGTATCAGCTCCTCATTTTTTCCCTTTCCTCCCTGTTCCCCCTCCCTCATGAACCCTTGATAATTTATAAATTATGATTATTTTGTCATATCTTACACCACCCGACATCTCCCTTCACCCACTTCTCCACTGCCCGTCCCCCAGGAAGGCAGTTATATGTAGATTCTTGTAATCGGTTCCCCCTTCTGCCCCACCTTCCCTCCACCCTCCTGGTATCACCACTCTCACCACTGGTCCTGAGGGGTTCATCTGTCCTGGATTCCCTGTGTTTCCAGTTCTTATCTGTACCAGTGTACCTCCTCTGGTCAAGAGCTACCTTTCCACTGTCAAATATTAGTTCACCCAAAATGTTTCAAATGAACTTTGGACTTTAGCCCATTCTATTAATAGATAGTCCCGATGACTCCCAACTGCAATACGATTTCAAGAGCATCTTAAGTCCAAAGCCCTTTGAAACATATCTCAAATTAGCTAGCAGAGATATTACTGTTCAAAAACTGGTACTTACCCCAAAGTTGGTAGCTGCAAATCGATCTGAGGCAGAAACCTGTACATTGGTGGAAACCGTCGTGTGGGCATAGAACGCGTTTATGTTGGCCAATAGGGTGCTCATGACGGCTGGGACACCAGGGCACATGTATTTAGATGACAGACAGGAGAAGTGCCTGCAAGACAAACAGAGTAGGACCTCTTAGGACAGAACCCAATGAAGTCACAAAGCAGCAGATTTTCCAATATCAGCAATTAAAGCAATTCCTCAACATCCATGATACAGGAAACACCATTACTCCCCAATCTCAAATCGAAAGAAGAATTCCTTTCAGTCTTTGGAAAGTGAAGTGTGAAATGGACCAATCAGACGTGATTTGCCATTGGGAGGTGTGTATCATTTCTTTCAACTGCAACAGAGTTGTGACAATACTCCAAAAATACAATTTCCAATGAAATTTAGCACCGTTGTAAAGCACCAACTCAAAGGGCCCCCTCCCTCACTTTTGGACCAATTGAATTGCCACCTATTTCATTTCCTAAGATGCCATAATCCAAGCAGAAGGCTATTCTTTCACACCTGTATTGCCCTTGCATTCATGTGTTACACCCCTATCTAACATGCATCTATAACACAGATCTCACATGTCAACTAACAGGCTACCTGAGTCCACTTAGAAAGTGTTCCTCACAAAGGAATTCTCTTCCACAAAGACTTCTGTAGTCTAAGCACTTGGTTATAACTCGCACTGAATACGGGAAACACATGAATAGTGAAGATCAATTGAGTGATGCTAGCTTTATGGGTTAAACACCTTTTAAAGCTTGAAAAAGAAGATAATTTATCATCAGATGCATCAAAAGCATTCGATCTTGGTACTTTGCTCAGAGAACCCGGTTTCATTTGAAGTCTAACAAAAGACTTAGCAATTGAAAGCACACCTTACAGAACATGTGAAAAGAAAATATGAATAGAATAATGAAATTTCAAGAATCTAATTTGGTCATTCTTGCTCTCAGAGCTTAGAAATGTATTCTTCTAGCTCAATATCTTTGAGTTTTCATTACAGAACAGAGAAAGATGCATCTACACAAAGAATGGACCTGAATGGCAACAAACAAACAAACAAACAGGGGGTCCCAAGAATTCATCTCACCCTGTCACTTGCCTAGTTGCCCAGAACTGGCTAATAAAGGTCATTTTATTTTTTTCCCCCCAAAGGTAGCTTTACACAGGATATTTTGTAAAATTATAAACATTTAAGCCATTAGAGTTACATTGTTTCAATAATTTGACCCTGGGGGTTGTATTATCAACGATTGTTGCTGCATCAAGGTAAATGCTATTTTTACTTCATTGTCTACTAAACTAGTTATAATAACTTAACATGTATTAAGAAGAGCATAAAATGATATAAAGTTATTGAAGACAGAAACGCGAATCCGTTTTTGTTTGCGTTCCCCCTCCCCCCCAACTCCGGGTAATTATACTTGTTAGAACCTTTCATCACAAGTTGTGGATTATACAGCACCTAAGTGGAATGGAGTGAGGATGGCATGCATGGACAGGAGAAGTGCATACCTTGCGGGCGAGAGATACAGGAACATCATAGACAATTGCTAATATCAAAGATGATAATTAGCTGAAGTCTGCATTATCAATGAAGAGGGCTGCTAAGGTCTCTCCCCTCCATAATCTTGCTTTTGAAAGGGATGGAGTCCCCTTATGAAGCAGTCAATGTTGCTCAGTCGTTTTGTGCAGCAGCCACGCTTAAGTGTTAGTGCCTGAGTAAGGTGCCGGCATAGCTTAGCCGTTAATTAAAGCACAAATAACAACATAGGAACGTGCTCCCCACATCAAGGTGTGAACCGTGTGGCTTAAGAGGAAGTAAAACAAGCTTTTAAAAGTTCATGTCTAGAATGACAGTTATTAAATGTTGCTCACTAGTTATAACTGAGGGAAAGATAACTACAATATGGGAAAGTTGGGGAAGTCAAAAAATGAGCTGGTTCTGTAGGATTTTTACTCCTGTAAACAGTTGTAAGCTTGGAAATACAGAAGGGACCTGCTATGAGTTAGCATCGACTCAGTGGCAGTGAGGATTTTTTTTTAACACTTTTATTAGCACTTAATCCACATATCACACAATTTAATAGTTCAATCATATCAAGAAGAGTTGTGCAATCATTACCACAATCAATTTAAGAAATTTTTCTTCCTTTGCTCCCTGCCCCACCCCCACCCCGTGGTTAAATCTCTTTTAAAATGAGTTGTAATCACCATCTGTTCTAGCACTACCTCCCTCCCTCCTCCCACATACATTGTTTGCTTCCCCCCACCCCCACCCTTACCTCCCCTATATCCCTTTGCCTCAATTATCTCCCTGCATCTACTCCTCCTGTGCTTCACAAACTGTAAAACCAACCCAACAGAAACAATAAAAATCAGGAACAAAATAAAGTGGTAAGGATAAAGTAATAGCAGCCCATGCATAACCCACTGTACAACCAGAGCTCCTTTACATAAACAAGAGATGTAAATAATTCTCAGTTACCTAGCTTAATAAATCTTTGCTGTGCATTTATCATCAATGGTAATAGATAATGGATAATAGGATGGGTAATAGTTTCCCCATCCATGGGGAAACAGGAAATAGTAGACAGTGAACGGGTACTTTTTCCTTAAAAAAAATCATGACTTCAACTTCAATTCATAGTCCAAATACTAGAATTACAGTACTCTGAGGAAGCTCCATTAATTCTGATGTGTTTCTGTTAACCTTTTATACATTTTTATGTCCAAGTCAGTTGGCCAGTGCTGCCTTCCTTTATGAACTGCCCACGTAGTACACAGCCACACAGTTCTGGCACAGTACTCCACGAAAGGGATCCAACGTTGATTAAAGTATGATCCCTGATGTGATTTAAAAACATGCATACCCCCAAGGAAAGGGGTGTGTAATAAGCTCTAGTTTTGCCATACCGAAGGGAGTGCTATTAACAATGTAGCTAAAAGATTCAGAGTGTCAAGGATTTCTGAAGGTGTAAGGCTTAGGGGTGCAGAGTAAAACTGTCAAAAGAGACAATTTCTCTGAGGGTTAAAGGCTGACAGGAAGTCACTCACTGGTGGACAATCAGAGGACAAGAGTTTTAAATGACTATTGAAGAATACATAGTTCAGTGTCTCTAGAACTCATGCAAACACACGTTGATCAAACACATCTGAATGTCAAACACTGTTGTTTACTTTACTTACAGAGTAGTGAAGAATCAGACACACACATAAGAATAAGTCTTTAATAAAAAGAAAGGTATGATGGTGTACACTAAGAAGACATGAGGCTAGAATATGTAAATCATGTTTTGCTGGGAAAAAATTTAGAGCCCCGGGTTGCAATACTGAGGGATATAATGGACAAAATATTGAACGCGGGAAGCATTAAAAAAAGGAATATACTGCCATTGTACCAAGAATCATTGATTAATGTTCAATCCTTTCAGGAGGTAGCATATAGTCAAGAACTGGTGGTATTAAAGATGGCATCAAGCTTCACGGGTGCCATTGGGGGGAAATCAAGACTCTAGGAATTGATGGACGACCAGTTAGAGATGCTTCAACCAAAGGATGCAATTCTAGCCATATTCCGCTATCGAGGCTAAGAAATTTTATAGGCAGCTACCTGACAACGAATTGGTGAAAGAAATCTGTAAACATTCCCATTTCAAGGAAGGTGAACTAACAGAATATGGAAATTAACAAACAATACCATTTTTCTTCAGGTCATTTGACTTAAAACATTGAAAGCAGGTCATTTTCATTTCGTTTCCTAATTCTAGACCTTGGCGCTTTTCATTCTAATACATTGTCTTCTCCCGCTGCCGTTTGGATTCTCTGCCAGTGTCTTTTACTTCATTATTCCTCCATGTACTTTAGTTATCTTCAAGAACGAAAGGCTTTTCTGACATCCATTCTGGTCTTAGCTTTCTATTTAAGGATTTTAGCCTCCTTCATGTCTTATGTCATCCCGCTGATGAAATGCATCAAATCTATTCTTGCGTGGTCTCTAAATTCAGGAGACATATACTCAAGGTCACATTCTGGCTGTCTTGGACTTGTTTTAATTTTCTCCAGCTTCAACTTATACTGGCATATGAGTAATTGATACTGTTCCAGGGTCAGCCCCTGGTCTTATACTAAGTGACAGTATTGACATTCTCCATCATATCTTGCCACAGTAATGGATTTGATCCCAGTGTCTTCTCTCCCCTAAGGTGCATGCACACAGTCACTATTTTTGTTGTTGTAAAAATACATGTTTGTAATGAAAAAGTTGACGGTTTTGCAAAAATCTATGGTGCTATCTCTGGCATCATCTACCATCCAGGTCGCATTTTCTAATGACCAACCCTTTTTGATTTCAACTTCTACATCACCAATAATTATGAATGCAATTATATCTCTGAACGTGCACAGACCAAGGCACCATGGAAAGAAAAATAACCTGCGTAGGAAACTCTAGCAACCTCATGCTGGAAGTACCCGGATTTCCAAGAGAACATTCTATAGCTGGTGTGGCCAAAGGTAAGACCAGCAGATCCATAGAAGAGTCTTGTGTAATATGTTAGGCAAGTTGTACACCTCTTATATTCGGGATTGTGTCAAGAGAATTTCCAAACAAAATTCAAAATCACGTGGAAAATGAATGTAACAAAAAAAAAATTGTCCTAAACAAACTCTCCTGCAGTGAAAGAGAAAATGACATTAGATTTGTGTTTTAAGTAGTTTAACACAGGAGGAGGTACTTTTGAAAGGATGGGGTTGAAGGGAGGTAAGACTAGAGAAAAGAGCCCATCTGGGAGTTTGTAAACGTAAACACGAAATAAAAAGACAAGAAATGTGCCATAAGGTGAGGAGAATTAGATGGCGAGTTGTTTTAAGTCGGAGAATTTCTGAGCAGCACATCTACCAGATATTTGAAGGCTTGGAGAAGACAAGACTTAGATCATTAGCATGTAGGAAGCAGTCAAAACCCTGAGAATAGAGGAAACCACTCCACGAAGCCTTTGCAGAGGGAAAAGAGAAGTGTGAGAGAATGGAATCCAAGAACAACCAGGAGCCACCTGGCAGGAAAACAACAAAGCTCACATGGAGGAAGCACACCAGCCTGTGTGATCG